AATTCCAAGAAGGTTCCTCTGCTTATCCAGAGGACTTGGGCAGCAGAGGATCTTCAGCAGCCTTCCTAGTCAGCATCCTGGTTCTGTGGATTCAGGGAGCTCCAGGCCCTGGCTCTGTTTCCCCCCGAGTGCCACCCTTACAGGGCTTGGTACCTCTCTTTTAGGGAGCTGCCCTTTGCCTGGTGCAGCAGGTTTCACAGATGTGCCAGTTTGGGAGTTGATTGTGCCTATGGGTGCTTATTAACCCCTTCCTGACTGAGGTGGGCACTTGCTCCACCACATCAAGTGCTTCCCACAACTACCCCTCCTCCCACTCTGGGGAGCTGTGCTAAACATGTATGGGCTAAGCACCACAATGCAGTGGTACAGTAATGGCTGGGGGCAGCACGAATGTCCCGCACACAATGGCCCAGCTAACACTGGTGAGGGATATGGATACGCTGAACTGTTGCAGTAACCATTGATTCTGGCAACACTCAGCTTCACCATTTCAGCTTGAAGCGATGCCTGTCTCTCCAAAGTGTGGACCTAAAGTGGTGCAGACTGCTGCACTGGCTGCATCAGAGACAAGCTAGCTTTGTTGGCACAGGTGTTACACTCAGACACACGGCTTTGCACAGACAGAGCAGGCTTAAACCACAGCAACCCATAGCAGATAGCCCTGGAGGAAAGGAGAACCCTCTAAAGCAGTGGCTCTCAACCTTTCCAAACTACTGTACCCCTTTCAGGCGTCTGATTTGTCTTGTGTACCCCAAGTTTTACCTCACTTAAAAATTACTTGCTTACAAAATCAGATAGAAAAATATAAAAATGTCACAGCATTTATAAAATAAATCAATTGGAATATTGTACTTACATTTCAGTGTATAGTATATAGAGCAGTATAAACAAGTCACTGTCTGTATGAAGTTTTAGTTTGTACTGACTTCACTAGTGCTTTTTATGTAGCCTGTTGTAAAACTAGACAAATATCTAGATGAGTTGATGTACCCCTGGAAGACCTCTGCGTTCCCCCCGGGGTATGCATACCCCTAGTTGAGAACTGCTGCTCTAGAGGGATCCAAGCTGGATTATTACAGCCAGTGGTATGAAAACATACAGGTCTCTCTCACTCCATGGGTGAAACTGGGAATGTCTACATTGCAATTAGACACCCACTGCTGGCCCGCGCCAGCTGACTCGGCTAAGGGGCTGTTTAATTGCAGTGTGTAGACATTCACCTCTCAGGTCCTAGATGCCAGACTCCTGCCCCAAGCTTGAATGTCTACACTGCAGTTAGCCTAAGCCAGCTGCCACGGGCGTCTAACTGCAGTGTAGACATACCCGCAGTGGCTTCAACCTGGCAATAAAACGAAGCTGAATATCCGAACCTTCTTGAGCCAATTGATGCCTGGGAAACACCTGCTAAATACCAACTTTGGTGCAGACCTGCCTGGCCAGGGCATTTCCTAAACCCACTCACAGGTTGCAGACCCATGTGATGGATCAGAAAAATTGTTTCCACCCCCTCTCTCTGGGGTGTAGGAAGCTCAGCCTGCCTCCCCCCAAAAGCAACTGCTGAGACATGGATACCCCCACTCTGTTCTGCTGGGGGCCTTTCTTCACTCATGGCCACAACAGGACACAGCCTGTCTTTCTGAAATCTTCTTGTGGAGGTCTAGCGGTCAATTCAGACTTAACATGGCCAAAACAGAGCTCCTGATCTTTCCCCCAAAGCTATCCTCTCGCCCCTTCTATCACTGGATAACATTTTTGACTCGGCTCTCTCCTTTAAATCTCCTTTAAGTCCAGGCCATGTCTATATCTTGCCATTTCTTACTGCACCACATCTCCAGTGTCTGACCTTTCATCTTTGCCCATGTGGCCAGAATTCTTGTCCAAGCTTTGATCATCTCACATCTTGACTCTCTCTTCCTCAATGTCAGCAATCTCGCAGCCCTCACACATTCAAAATGGTGTGGCTAAAGTCCTGTTCCTGGTTCATCACTGTCATCCTCTCTTTCCCTCCACTGGCCCCTCCTCTTGTATCACATCAAACACAAAGTCCTCCACAATGTAGTTCTACCCGATCGGACCTCTTCCCTCAGCGCAACGTTGACTCAGCCTTTGCTCCACCAATGATGCCAGGTTCCACTGCTGATTCTCCACTTCTCTCACAACACCACTTACTTGTGGGGAAAGCTCCCAGTCAAAATCCATAAAGCCACCACACCTTGTCCTTCAAATCTCTCCTCAAAACTCCCGTCTTCCAAAATGCACATTGGAAACTGATAATGGATAGGCAGGTGGAGAGCATCCGGATAAATATTTGTAGTCTCCCCCACTCATTTGTCTCATCTACCTGTTGCATCTTGTCTTGCAAACTGTAGGCTCTTTGGGCCAGGGACTGTCCTGTATTACGTCTATACAGTGAACAACACAATGGGGCCCTGACCTGGTTGCGGCCTTGAGGTGCTACCACAATATCAATGTTGTAATTTAACAATAAAGGACCCTTGGGCCAGTCTCAAAGACTTCTACATGCACAACAAGCTGGTCTCAGCCCCACCGTTCCCTCCTAGCTTGTGTAGGCTGGACCCAAACCCTCTTTCTCTCACTGGTGAGCATTTATCCTATGCTCAGTCCCCCGGAAATCAATGGGGTCAGTAACTGCTCCATTATGGGGGTATGGAATTCACAATCAGGCAGATATGGACGGTACCTCTGAGGATCTTAATCATCTGACAATTTTTTCCATAAGCTTTTTTTTGTAATTATCTCAAACACTTCAAGTAAGAATTCTTTTGAAATCACTCCCCATGTATCATGGCATTTCAGACCAGACGGAGAAGTGCAATGAAACATACTGATGCTGCGCGGCCGGCTGAGCTGCATTTGGCAGATGGTCTGTTTCTGATGGTATCTTTGTTTTGCTGTTGATTGTACATTTTATTATTGTGCATTTTGAAAAGAGGATTTGAGAGAACGCACATGTGAATGACTCTCAGGGTAACAGCTCTACTCACATGGATACTAACAGAGCAGTGGTTCTCAACCTATTTATCATTGTGGGCCGTATACGAGGCCCACAATGTGTTACCTGGGCCACAGGTTGAGAACCAAAGCACGTGCCCATCCCCCCACCCCCGAATTTCCTCCCACAGACCCTCTAATCTCAGCACCTCCCACTCAGAGACCCCTCGACAGAGTGGGGCCAGGAGCAGAGCCCCGGGCGGGGGGCCAGGCAGCAGGGACCCTGGACCCCACTGTGTGTGGTCAGGCAGGAACCCTGACCCTGGACCCGGCCGCATGGGGCCGGGTGGCAGGGCAGCCGGGCGGCAGGCCGGACCCAAACCCCAGACCTTTTGGGGCCAGGCGGTAGCCCTGGACCCCAGGCCCCGTGCTGTGCGGGGCCGGGCAGCAGCCCTGGACCCCCGCCGCACCAGGCAGCCTGGCCCCCACCGTGCAGCCCGGAAGCCTTTAGCTGTGTGCTAATTGGGCCGCATGCAGGCTGCAGGTTTAGAACTATTGGAACAGAGGAATGTAAATATTAACCAGCTACTTCCCTTGGGGGACAGGCCCAGGTGGACAAGTCCCCGTTCGACCCTCTTCTGGAAAGTCAATGGGACTGAGTCACTCAGGCACTGCTGAAAATGTCCCCCAAGCAGTCTGTTACTTCAATGGGCTCCTGGACATTTATCCCGATTTCACGATGCTCACAGGTTAATAGCAGCCCTGTGATGTCTCCAGCACGGAATCCATCATTTGAATGGTGCCCGAGACAGCCCCAAGGGAAAGATGTCCGCTGCCATCAAGAACACTAAACATGAGCCAGTGACAATGATTAAAAATGGTAAAAGTGAACGTGTTCCATTAACTGACAGAGATGGTTTCCCCTTTCCAAAGGGCACCTTACCTGCCTACCCCAAGCTGGGAATCCTGATTGACAGGCCAAACACCTATGAACACTGAAAAGTAGCTCTCGGTGGTTTAAGAAAGATGCAACTACCTTTAGTGTAATGAATTAGCAAGAGAGAAACACAGGAAAAGAACAACAAGCTTCCCACGGAGCACTGAGGCTGCCTAGCTGTTTTTCTGCCATAATGGGAATGGACTCAACTGTTAACAAAGCAGCAGCCTAGACCTCTCCACAGATCATCCCGCTGACATTTAGTTCTCTGTTCAACACCCAGAGACTTGGTCTCACTCCCTTGCTCAGATGCCATCATGATCATTGTTCCCAGCCAGAGCTCCCTGATAGCATTTAACACAGCATCTACGGGGGGAACTCCTTGTGCATCGAGTGCAGCGACACAGGCTCTCCCCTGTGCGCTTTGCCTGGCAGGTCGTGCAAGCGTCTCTGTGCTGCCAGCGTCCCCCAGAGTTTCTCCCCCGTGTGGATGCGTTGGTGTCCCACCAGGTGCTGCTTGCGGGTGAAGCTCTTCCGGCACTCGGTGCACTGGTAGGGCCGCTCTCCCGTGTGCAGGCGCCGGTGGGTCAGGAGGTGCTCCTTCCGCATGAAGGTTTTCCCACACTCGGTGCAGCCATAGGGTCTCTCCCCAGTGTGGATCATCTGGTGCCTAATGAAGTTCGAATGGTGGTTAAAGCCCCTACCACATTCATTGCAGATATACAAGCCCCTGCTCTTCCCCGCGTGACTCCTCTGGTGTATCATGAGGTTGATCTTCAACCGGAAGCTCTTCTTGCACTCAGCACAGGTGTACGGCCGGTCCCCTGTGTGGGAGAGCTGATGTTTGCTGAGGCTCGACTTGTGAGGGAAGCTCCGCTCGCACTCAGGGCAGTTATAGAGTCTCTCACCCGGCTGGCTCTGTGGGCAGGATTTGAGACAGTGGTTTTGCTTGAAGCTCTCCCTGCGCTCAGGAGGCGTGTGGGCTCCGTCATGAATCCTCTGGTGCAGTACGCACTGCTGCTCGTAGAGGAAGCTTTTCCCACATTCAGAACAGACGTACGGTGCCTCTCCTGGGAGGCTCTCCTCTTGGACAATGATTGTGGTGAAGTTACTGAAGTCTCCCTCGCCTGCAGCCGAGTCCCCCAGTCTGTTCCCATCAGGGTATTCTCCCTGGATGCTAACGTTGCCCTGATCATCACAGATAGGTTCCTGCTCAGGGTACTGGAAAACAGTCTCTTCTGGTCGTCCAGGCAACGTGCTGTACAACTCCAGGCTCAACGGGATTCCTTCCTCAGCTTTGACTACAACCTCGTCATCTGCTGGACTCAGAGGAGAAACCAAGAGTTGTTAGTTTTCTGCCCCTTGTCCATCCACCACCTGCCTCTCAGCACCCTGCCATCTTTCTGCTGCCAGGCACCATCTGCCTGAGAAAACTGTGTCTCCAACTTACTGCCCCGCTCTAAAACCCCTACACAGGGAGACAGCGAGCAGGGACTTCTGGTGCAACCACAGTACCTCAGTGCCAGCCAAGGAAGAGAGGCGCCAGGCTAAGAGACTTAGAGGAGAACGTCCCTTTGGCATAAAAAGGAGAACCACCAATTCCATTCCAACCCACCTTCCAAAGAGCCCAAAAAGAGATGGCTGAATGGAAATCAGGCCTGGTGAGAAGCTGTGACTGAGTCCTGCGAAAGTGATCTGAGAAATGCAGTTTGAGAGAGAGGATTATCTGACAAGACAGGACGCTAAGAGCTGACAAAAGTCTCTCCTGACTGACAGATTCCTGTTGCACTCACTGTGAGTCATTCCAATCACTCGCTCACCTGCGTTGGGCTCTGTAGAGATCTCTCTCTCCTCTGAGTCCCACTGATCCCTGATGTACAGGTCTTCTTGTTTTACCCACGATACAATGTCATGAGTAAGGCTCAGCGATTCTGTTTGCAAGGGGAGAGAAATCGCATTGTGATTAGCTAACATCCACCCATTCACGTGTTTCTATTAGCTAACGTTTACACAGCGCACCCAGGTGCTATACAGAGAGAAAGGGACACAGCCCATGCTGAAAGGTGCTACAGTCTGGGCTAGGTACAACACGATGCAGGGAGAGAGGAGAGCAAGCGAGAGGGTTGCACAAAATAAGGCAGTGAAGATGCAGCTTTTGTTGGTTCCTGATTTTTAGGCCAGTAGAGAAGTTTGGTGTGTATGGTGGGGAACCAGGCTGGATTTCACGGCTCTTTGCACTTGCATCCGAACGTTATGGCACTCAGAGTCGCTAGTCCCTTTGGAAAATCTTGGCCAGTGGGCAAAGGCTCAGTCCTTACCTTCCTCTATCTCTGCTGAAATATGGGTCCTACCATAATCACACACCTAGTACAAACCCTTCTGTGTTGCATTTCCTAATTCCTGGCCCTCAGCTCCAGGGAGCTCACCCTATTCTGCACCAGAGAAGGCACGTAAGCTTTCCTGGCTTCTTTTCCATCTCCAAACCCCTCCATGGCTCTCTCCATCCTGGCTGGCTGAAGTTAGAGCAAACTGCTTCCAAACCAGCCAACTCTGTGGCTTCACTCATCGCTCTCTCTGTGTCATCCGGTGTACCCAATGAGTAAAAAACCACCTCACACTCCACAGCCAGAGGGAGCTCCTGTTCTTGCAGAGCCCCTCCTTCTCGATCTGTGCATCCAACTCTGTGCAGCACTATTTTACCTACCTATTGTACTTACAAAGCCTCCATTACCATAATCTGAGACCCCTCACCCCACGTATTTATCCTCAGAACACCCTCTGTGAGGTAGGGAAGTGCATTTTGCAGATAGGGCATATAGACAACAAGGTTGCAAAGAAAGTCTGTGGCAGAGAAGGAATTGAACCTGAGTCTCCCAGGTCCCCGGCTAGTGCCCTGACCACTGAGCCATCCTTCCTCTCGTACATCTGCCAGCAAAGCACCTTATGACACTCCACATAACTCACCTGTGCTAGGCTCCATTGGGATCACGCTCTCCTCGGAGTCCTCCTGAGTCCCCTCCCACGGCTCCTCCCCCCGTTCAATCCGGGACAGAAGGTCAGGTTTGGAGATGGCGTAGTCTGTTCATGTGAGAGGACAGGAAGGGGCGGGAGGGTTAGTCATAGGTACGGAGTATTATTTACAGACAACAATGATTTTAAACCAATCTGCCCTCCCAGTTCAGGTGCAGGGAGGAGCCCTCCATTCCTGCAGGCAGGCAGCCCGGTGAGAAGCCCAGTTTTCTGCGGGCCTATTTCAAGCTGCAGTGCTCTCATACAAGCCGTGAGAGAGCTGGCTGCTAGGAGCGAGGGACTGGTGGGTTGCTTCCACCTCCCCACGCTCCCGAATTCAGACATCCAAAGGCACAACCGAATAAAGCTGTAAGATTTGCTGTGTATCAGTTTCCTAACTATTGCTTCCTTCCTTCTCCTGAGCATTTAGCTCTTGAGGTTCGTGATACCAGAAACTGGGAGACATTTTAAAGGCTGGGACTACAATCCAAACACTAAGGGAGAGAGAGAACACCCAGCACAGCAAAGTAATGACAGCGAGCACCCGAGTCTTCACTCACCACCCTTGGCAAGAGCCCCAGCCCCACGAGTCACAGCCCTCCGCCGAGTCCAGCCCATCCAATAGCACATTCACAATGCACAGAGCAGGCCTGGGATAGTCAAACTGTATCAGCACCAGGGTGTGTAGGCTGAACAGGTACGATGATAGGGAACTGTTATTCAGGGCTGGAAAGCTGCAGACAGCAATCACTGCAGATCTCTCATTCTCTGCTGAATGGAAGGAACGAGTGAAGGCTCTAAGCGCTGCTCCACTGAATTATCATTGCTGGTGAAAGGTGCCTGTTGCACCTGTGGACTGAAGGCCTTTATCCACAGAATGGATATAGCACTAGCAACAGCACTGCAAGCTTGCTCTCCTCCCCCAGTCCTAGAAGGACCATCTCTAGGGTTTGCTTCCGAGATCACTGACATTCTAACAGATGAGTGAAAGAAAACTGATCCTTACCCAGTGAGATCAATGATTCATAGTTGCCTTTCATCACGTTCTTGTAAAGGTCTTTCTGCCAATCATCCAATTTCCCCCACTCCTGCTCAGAGAAATAGACAGAAACATCATCGAACGTCACTGGCACCTGAAATCACAAGGGTTAACCATTTGTAATATAGGTAAAGAATTAAAAACAAAACACGATGTTAACATGACAATATCCACTTAACTTAGGGTTTGCCCTTTGTTTCTGGGCCTTCCCTCAGATTTTTATACAGGTAACAATGCCAATATCCAGCCAATCTAGATTAATGCTTGTAGTATGACTACAAGACACTAAATTAAATGCTTTATTTGTGTTCAGACAGTGCCTAAGGGGCCCTGTCCTCCAAACCCTCAATCACTCAGGAAGTCTTTACTCATGTGACTTCAGCAGGGCTACACACCCTGAGTTGGTGTGCTAAATCAGATGAGAATCTTGCAATTCAATCCAAAAAAAAAAAAGCAATTCTATGTGCCAAAATATGTCCTTTATTAACCTTCAGTGCTTATCGCTTCTGTTCCTCTTGGCCCCTAGGATTCATGTTACCGTGACCTGCTCAGATATATAATATAGCCTCCTTACCTGAAATCTGTTTTATATACATCAGCAGCTACACCATCAAGGCCTTCCTTGCCTCTTCACTGCTCAAACACCTTGTTTTATTTTTCTCATTAAAGCCAAATTTAAAAGAGCAATTCAGCACATCTGCCTGATCATTTATCAATTTCTTTCTCCTTGGATAAATTTGTAAAAGCCCTTCTTATTCCTCTTAGCTCCACAGAAATCAAACTGCCCAGAGAAGCAGTGATGGAACAGAATCCAAATAACTTGGTAAGCAAGGATGGAAGCAGCTAGAGAGAGTGGAGGAGGAAAACCACCCACTACAAATTATATTAAAATAAAAGAGCACATAAGATACAAGAGAGGATCGTTTCTCTTCAATTCCCCTTTCAATATCTGATCCAGCTTCAAGACATTATAGCTCCCTCTCAGCACCAGCTGGGATATCGTTACCTTGGGGACTTCTCCCTTAGTGCCTGGGGGGAGTCTCAGGATCCAGAAGTTCCTGTTCTTCAGCAGGTTCTCCATGTTCTCCAGCCTCCTCTGCAGCACCCCGTACTCCTGGATCAGAGTTCCCAGCACGGCCAGTTGGTTACTAAACTCCATCATTCCTTTCTCTGTGTCAGATACTTTCTTCTCCGCTGTCCCTGTTCTGCCCTCCAGACTCAGTAACTGCGTGGCATGGGAATCCACCTTCCTCTCCACGGCTTGAATGGCAGCCACTACAGTCCACAGGGAGATCTCTGCCGTTTGCAGCTGGGTTTCTCCCACAGCCCTTCGCTTGGGGACAACGTGGGGTTGCAGAGGAGCCGAGTGCAGGGACTCCATGTCCCATTCCCGAGCCTGGGTGCAAGGATAGAAATTGAGAGAGTTGAGGTCTCAATCCAACCTAGGAGAGTCTCCTCCAGCCCTTGTCTACATGAGATCGTTGTACCAATTTAACTAAATCAGTTAAGAAACTGCAGTCCCCACATGAGGGCACTTTGACTTCAATATAAAAGTGCCCTATATCCATGTAGCTTAAGTCAGTTCCTTACTGACAGACAAGGGATGGGGGGTAGATTTCTTAGACCACAGTGTGAGCCTCTGAGATATCAATGTGGAGCCTGCTGGTTTGCCTGTTGTTTTCTATTTTTAAATCAGTGAAATAATTGTACATCTCCCTGGCATATTTTCACAGCTGTTCGTTTTAATTTAATTTAATTTAATTTAATGTGTGTGTGTGT